AGTATCACTACTCTAGCCACAGAGTATCACTACTCTAGCCAGTGTCACACTACTCTAGCCACAGAGTGTCACTGCTCTAGCCACAGAGTATCACTACTCTAGCCACAGTGTCACACTACTCTAGCCACAGAGTATCACTACTCTAGCCACAGTGTCACTACTCTAGCCACATAGTATCACTACTCTAGCCACAGAGTGTCACTACTCTAGCCACACAGTATCACTACTCTAGCCACAGTGTGACACTACTCTAGCCACAGTGTGTCACTAGCCACAGTGTGTCACTACTCTAGCCACAGAGTGTCACTACTCTAGCCACAGAGTATCACTACTCTAGCCACAGTGTGTCACTACTCTAGCCACAGTGTGTCACTAGCCACAGAGTGTCACTACTCTAGCCACAGTATCACTACTCTAGCCACAGAGTGTCACTACTCTAGCCACAGAGTATCACTACTCTAGCCACAGTATCATTACTCTAGCCACAGTATCACTACTCTAGCCACAGAGTGTCACTACTCTAGCCACAGTGTCACTACTCTAGCCACAGTATCACTATTCTAGCCACAGTATCACTACTCTAGCCACAGAGTGTCACTACTCTAGCCACAGTGTGTCACTACTCTAGCCACAGTGTGTCACTACTCTAGCCACAGTGTATCACTACTCTAGCAACAGTGTGTCACTACTCTAGCCACAGAGTGTCACTACTCTAGCCACAGTGTGTCACTACTCTAGCCACAGTGTATCACTACTCTAGCCACAGAGTGTCACTACTCTAGCCACACAGTATCACTACTCTAGCCACAGAGTGTCACTACTCTAGCCACAGAGTGTCAGTACTCTAGCCACACAGTATCACTACTCTAGCCACAGTGTGTCACTACTCTAGCCACAGTGTGTCACTACTCTAGCCACAGTGTGTCACTACTCTAGCCACAGTGTATCACTACTCTAGCCAGAGAGTGTCACTATAGCCACAGAGTATCACTACTCTAGCCACAGAGTATCACTACTCTAGCCAGTGTCACACTACTCTAGCCACAGAGTGTCACTGCTCTAGCCACAGAGTATCACTACTCTAGCCACAGTGTCACACTACTCTAGCCACAGAGTATCACTACTCTAGCCACAGAGTGTCACTACTCTAGCCACATAGTATCACTACTCTAGCCACAGAGTGTCACTACTCTAGCCACACAGTATCACTACTCTAGCCACAGAGTGTCACTACTCTAGCCACAGAGTGTCACTACTCTAGCCACAGAGTATCACTACTCTAGCCACACAGTATCACTACTCTAGCCGCACTACTCTAGCCACAGTGTGTCACTACTCTAGCCACAGTGTGTCACTACTCTAGCCACAGAGTATCACTACTCTAGCCACAGAGTGTCACTACTCTAGCCACAGTGTGTCACTACTCTAGCCACAGAGTGTCACACTACTCTAGCCACAGTGTATCACTACTCTAGCCACAGAGTATCACTACTCTAGCCACAGTGTCACACTACTCTAGCCACAGTGTCACACTACTCTAGCCACAGTGTCACACTACTCTAGCCACAGTGTCACACTACTCTAGCCACAGTGTCACACTACTCTAGCCACACAGTATCACTACTGTAGCCACAGTGTCACACTACTCTAGCCACAGTGTCACACTACTCTAGCCACAGTGTCACACTACTCTAGCCACAGTGTCACACTACTCTAGCCACAGTGTCACACTACTCTAGCCACAGTGTCACACTACTCTAGCCACACAGTATCACTACTGTAGCCACAGTGTCACACTACTCTAGCCACAGTGTCACACTACTCTAGCCACAGTGTCACACTACTCTAGCCACAGTGTCACACTACTCTAGCCACAGTGTCACACTACTCTAGCCACAGTGTCACACTACTCTAGCCACAGAGTGTCACTACTCTAGCCACACAGTATCACTACTCTAGCCACAGTGTCACACTACTCTAGCCACAGTGTCACACTACTCTAGCCACAGAGTATCACTACTCTAGCCACAGTGTATCACTACTCTAGCCACAGTGTATCACTACTCTAGCCACAGTGTGTCACTACTCTAGCCACAGTGTCACACTACTCTAGCCACAGTGTGTCACTACTCTAGCCACAGTGTATCACTACTCTAGCCACAGTGTATCACTACTCTAGCCACAGTGTATCACTACTCTAGCCACAGTGTCACACTACTCTAGCCACAGTGTCACACTACTCTAGCCACAGTGTCACACTACTCTAGCCACAGTGTCACACTACTCTAGCCACAGTGTCACACTACTCTAGCCACAGTCACACTACTCTAGCCACAGTGTCACACTACTCTAGCCACAGAGTGTCACTACTCTAGCCACAGTGTCACACTACTCTAGCCACAGTGTCACACTACTCTAGCCACAGAGTGTCACTGCTCTAGCCACACAGTATCACTACTCTAGCCACAGTGTCACACTACTCTAGCCACAGTGTCACACTACTCTAGCCACAGTGTCACACTACTCTAGCCAATATTGCAGGTTCTTCGCACCTGTACAGAAATGCTGTATCATAAAACACATGATTAAATAAACATGACCAATATGCGGGGTGGAGAGGTTGATCAATAGTCAGTAAACATTGGCATACATTTGTGTCAATCGAGCCTGGCCTCAGGCCGGGCTCGGTGAGTGGAAGAACTCTGGAAACCCTCCCCAGGTATGTTCCAGGTATAGTTATGGTGAAAATGAGATGGGAATGAATGAGAGAAGCGCTGAGTGAGCCCCCTGGAAGTGTAGCAGAGTTCTTATCCCATTAAAGTGCTTGCTGGGGAGAGTGCTTGAACGCTACTCTCATTTTCCCCTGACTTTCTCGCATCTTCTTCTAGAGGTGTAAGACAGTGGATAGTGTGAGAGGTGGAGTGGTTGTATGATGTAGCAGTGTCTGCGGGGCAAGGTGTAGAGGGGTGGGAGTGAGGGAGGTAGATGTAGCGTGGGTAGGGTGAGGGAGGACGAGTGGGGGAGGGGGGGTGCAGGTAGTTGTGTGTGTGTGTTCCAGAAATGTTTTTGCTGGCCGGCAACCTCTTGTCTCGCTGCATTCCAGCACTTCCGCTCCTGGGTCGGTCCTCCGCCCTCACTTCCCCTTCCCCCCCATCACATCCCCCTCCCCCAACACCTCCCCCGTCCCCAAACACCCCCTCTCCCCCCAAAACACCCTCTCCTCAAACACTACCCCTCCCCCAGCACAAACTTCCCCAACACCTCCCTTCCAACAACCTCTCCCCACCCCCCAACCCCCAACTTTTCCTCCTCATCCACCAGGGCTGCAGGTCTTAGTCAACCTTCCCCCCCCCCTCGTTCCCTGTATTCTCCATTGATAGCTTTAGTTTTGCTTTATACAAGGATTGAGCATTGCGCTCTGTGTCTTACGATTGTTTGTGGGTCACCTGTCTTGCAGCTATGTGATTGTTACTCTTGGAGGGCTTGCAGGGGGAGTAGAACTCCCAGAACCCACTGCAGGTATGCTCCAGGTATACGCCAAGTATTCTATTCTAGAATCTAAGTATTATCGCTTTACCCTGCCCGCATCTCCGTTTATATTATGTTCTCTGGATATTTGTTTATGCCTTATGTATACTTTAACATTACTAACAGGCACAGATAACATTATTAAGAGACGAGGGGTCACAATAGCGTAGCAGAAATATGTTGACCAGACCACACACTAGAAAGTGAAGGGACGGACCGAAACGTCGTCGTCCCTTCATTTTCTAGTGTGTGGTCTAGTCAACATTAGCAGAGGTAACATTTATCAAGAGGCAGATACGCGTGTTCTTGTGTACTCGACTAGAAGTCATTCGTTGAGGTGTATTACCTCAGTTTTCCTTATCTCAGGTACTAGACTCTGTATGTATGCGTGCGTGCGTGCATGCATGTGCATATTTCTGTGTCCGTCCGCCCACGTGCGTGCGCGTGCTTGAATGACAGCGCGTGTTTGTGTCTGCATAAAGAGGAAGGATTCAAACACACAAAAAACGGAGCATCGCCCCAGATCGAGTTGAGTGTTGCTAGGTAATAAGGCACCACGGCGACTATTTACATCACAGGGGCACGTGCCTAACTACCATGTGTGCACACCGCTGGGGTTTGACTAAAGGCTTAAGCATTTCGAACGCACCGGGCGGTAATGAGTGATGAATGGGCGAGTGTGTGTGACGCAACACTGCGTAATATAGGGCAGTAATGACACAAGCTTTTAACCTATATTGCTAGGTGTGGGGGGAGGGGGGGGATGAGCCAGCCAGGGCTGAGCTCCGTCACAAACGTCACTTGTGTGACGTAATGCTGACAACAGCATATTAATGTGTATGGTAACTTGCTTCATGGCGTCAGTCAATCTTGGGAGACGCAATGATGATTGTGTTTACATTCGTGTGGTTGAGTAGTATGTCCCTGATGTATGCTAGTTAGTACTTTGTTTATTGAAGCCTAACATACTTCCTAAATGTGGCCGCAAAGCTTAAGGACGTGAAGCAGTGTAAACAATTCACTGTAGTCGATGTATCTCTTTGTTACTCCCGCTTGTCTTCTTCAGGAGAAAGGAGGGGGAGGGGGGTATGTGCTGGTTTGTTATTTTTGAGTCTCTTGGGGATGTTTGTTTGGTAACTTTATTTATGTTCGATGCCCCATGGTACAAAGTTGTGGCGTGGGGCAGGGTGTTGGGGGAGGCGTTCCCCCCTGGGGAGGAAGGGAGAGAGGGCCCAGGGGAGAGCCGCCTCACCTGGGGATCAATACGCCCCACCACCCGCACACGCCTGCCAGACGCACAACCACCATAACCTCTTACTTCTAACTCCTCGTCGCTACCGTCTTTGTTTGTCTTTGTGAGGGAATGCTGGACATGGCGGTGGTCGTGGTCCAAGGCTGGTCAAGTATGCCGATTGCATGCCAAAATAAAGAATGTGGATGGCCGGGGCGTACGAAATTGTTGTTATTTAAACGGCAGCGTGTGTTGAATATGTTCAGTGTGGCTGGCGGAAGGATAAGAGGAGGATCGGGTCGGTGAGGACCGCGGGGACGGGACAAGGACCCTGTTCTTGCACGTGTGCAGACGCGTGTAATCACTGCCAAACAGCGAGTGCTTAGCCCACCCTCGTGTGTCCTAGAGACTGATAACGGTGGTGTCGGTGATGGTTTAGGGAGAGAAGAGACGACGGAGAGGTTGTTAACGGGGAGTTGAGTGACCGTGTGAGGTGTTGGCCCCTGCCCGTTACAGGACAAAGACCCAATACTGTGTACACTAAACCTGCCACCATTCTCTCCACAACTCTCCCGGCCTATAAGTGTGACGCCGATCCCCCTCTCTCATGTGATCTATCCCAAGAACTGTCCCCAGACTAGCCACAAGCTATCCGAACACTGCCTCTTATAAATGATCTCCTGTTAAATGCTCAAGTCCAAGACTACGTAACTCCTAGTATATTACAAGTGAAACCTAAGTTAATATCACTGCCATTGTGTTAGAAAGTCTTCAGGGAGAAGTGTGAGAAGAGCCGTCAGTAACAGTACTGGACGCAACAGTTCCGCCAGACCAAGTGTTGATGGGTGAAGGAGTCCGCTCTGACGCTGGTAAGTGTAGTGGGTGGGTGAGGGCGGGTGTGTGTGTGTGTGTGTGTGTGTAGATGTGTGTGTGTAGCAGGTCACGTTAGCCTGGCGTACTGGGTATATATAAGAGACGCTGAGCGACCCCCGCCTGGCAAGGGTAATCCTGCTGTTGGGAACACGCGGCAACGCCGCCTTATCTCCCTCACTAGTCCCCCCCCTCCCCCTCCTCCTCCCCACCTACGCTTATCTTAAGTCGATATTTTTCTATTTATTTACTTGTGAATAGTTGAAACTCGATGGTGGCAGGGAGCCAAGATGAATGTCACGAGACGTATGACGCACTAAGGGTTAATTTGGAATGATAATAGGAGGCGAGGTGGCTGGAGGTGTCGCACGGTGCATCTGGGGCAGGAGACGTGGCACCGCCGCGCGCCATACACAAGCCCATCTTCTCCCATCGAATTTTGTTAACATGGGAGGAAAAATGAATAGGTTTTGTTTTGGGGTGTTGTTGTGCGTGTTAGTAATGTTTATGTCTTGAGACTCGCCGGGGGCAGTAGTGCACAGCGGTGCTGCTTGCCTTTGCAGCGTGTTTATTAAGGGATTTTCCCGGGGTGGTATTTAAATGGCAGGATTTTAAGCGCGTAAAGACTGCTGGTGTAAGAAGCGACGCGCGTGGGGGTCTTGGGTACATTATTTCCAGACCTTTTCTCGCCCTAATATTCCTTCTGTCATCATTCCTGGCTGGTATCTTATTTGTTCATATTCCGCCATGGCTGCTTCTTTGTGTTACTTCATAGTCACGAGGAAATGTAGATATATATATTTATATATAGGGAAATAAAGGGATGGTTTGCGCGCGCGGAAATGTCTTAGGGTATGTCTAACGGCCGTTTTGAGCGTTTCCCTAGAGGGTAGGGTAGGCCTATGGGCCGGCTCCTCCTAGCCTCATCCTGGTGCGTGTCGCCACATCCCTCACACCCAGCTGCTAGCCTGCCCCGAGCGCACACTGCGACACCCTCTTGTATGACCAGTGAGTCCACTGATTCATTACAGTTATCTTGAATGTTATTTTAAGATTGTTGTGATAGTTGGCATTGACCTTTTTTTATATTTGAAGGCGATACACGAATTCAAATTTAAAAGTTAAAGCTTCGTTTACAAATTCATAATGCAGGTGTTGTGTGGCTGTTGACGAATGATTGGCATGTGTTAGCAATATTAGGCCTAATGCTGCTAATTTATTAGGATATGTCTGATCATATTTATATTGAATTTCAATTTAGGGAGGCCTTTTTGTGTTTTTTTCGACCCGAAATGTAAAGTCTCTTGCTTTTTATTTACGTGATCAGCAAAGGAGAAATCATTCGGTTAAAGGGTTACATGAGGCTTTCTCAGAATGGTATAACGAAACCTGGAATCTGCTTTTTAATTCGTTTTTAATGTTATGTGTTGACCGAGTGATTGTATGCTATTATCTAAATATAAATAATCATCACTGTATACATATTAATGAACAGGAAAATCAGTGCATATTTGTGTTTTTAAACAATATTTATATTAGTAATGATTGTTGCTCAGTTATTTACACGAACGTGTGATCAAAAGTAGCATTATTATACCAGATGATATTATTTTAAGACTAATGAATTTTGATTAGGTTACCTGGAAATTATAAGCGCTCTATTAATCCAAGGCTAAATTTAGTTCCTGTGATCATTTAATTGAAACTAAATTTGTAAATAAGTTTTGAGGTATGAATATTGTCAGAGTATTGTTTATGTATTGTACTGGTTTTCAATTATGACAGTTGACTTGTGACCAGAAGAACTACATAATAGGGAATACAGGTCACTTTGTACTCTGAATAACACGTAATTTGTTATTTTATTGTTATTGCTACCGTGTTAATTTTATTACTTTTGTTAGATGGCATCACTAAATTTAACCTATAAAGGAACGACTCCGTCGTTGCTTTATAGGTTAAAAGTCACAAAATTTCCCCCTTTCGGTAGACCAATACAGGCTACACTTAAAGTATTAATGAATATCATCCAGTATCCAGGGGCCAGATTCACGAAAGCACTTACGCAAACACTTACAAACCTGTTCATCTTTTCTGAATCTTTGGCGGCTTTGTTTACAATTATTAAACAGTTCCGAAGCACCAGGAGGCTGTTTATAACAATACCAACAGTTGAATGGGAAGTTTTCATTCTTGTAAACTGTTTAATAAATGTAAACAAAGCCGTCAAAGATTGAGGAAAGATGTACACGTTCGTAAGTGCTTGCGTAAGTGCTTTCGTGAATCTGGCCCCTGATGTGTTGCTGGTGAACGTGAGAAATGACACATACAGTTCAGAGAGGTTCAGTGATGCACGATTTCCTCTCGTACCTTGAGTTGGATGACATCTATTTAGACCTTACGGTCTCGTCTGCAGGTTATATTACAATCGAGTCACGGTGCTTAATGTCACCACCGTATCCATGTGGTAATTTAAGATTTAGAACCAAGCACTTCGGAATAAAGTATTTGAGTTAGGTTTATGCAATCTTTTTTCATTCTCCGTTAAGTGCCTCCTTTTGTCATGGCTTATATTCAATTGCATGCATGATTAACGAGGATTTATATTTAAACGTTCATTCGTGCTTTTTTTTTTTGTTATACTGTCTGGGGAAATTGCTAGGCTACCATGCAGTGATGAGTGATTTGCTCATCTATCATCGTTTTTGTTCCTGCAGACGCAGTCTATTCATAAATAACGTTCGTGTGTGTGTTAAGTTGGTAAGCAATTGCGTGAGGAGTTAGGTGTTACCACCACCGCCTGCCCAGGGTCACTGACTCTTGGTTCCTGGCTAGACTGGTACACCCGCACGCACAATTGCCCTCGCTGCACTCCTCGGCGCGTCTTGTCACATCTAATGATCTCTCTGCCAGATTTGCATACTTGTTCTTTTTTTGTATCCCACTGCTAGTTTGTATAATATTTTTATTATTTGGTAAATTATAAAAAATACAATATCAGTATAAAGTGACTAATGTTGATGTCGAAGAATGGCGTGTTCTGGCAAGATTGGTTGGAGGGTGATCCACCGGTTTCTATAGTTGGCTCACCAGTGAATCATGCAGGTGGTAGACCGGCTTGTAAGTGGTTCATGAGCTCGGCCTTGTGACAGACGGACCTCGCACCAGAGTAACAACAAATAGAGCTCAAACAGTCCTCACCCGTCGCCTCCCCCCAACCCCACCTCAGACTGGCTACAGCTCCCTCCCACTCATCGATCTCCACGTTTTTATAAACGATAAATAATGCCCAGAGGAATAACACGAACGGACCCGCCGGAGAACTTTACATAATTTACCCCTGAAGGTAGGACAGTGGCACACATTAATATTGTAAAACCATTGCGATTACAATGACTTTACATGTTAAGTAATAAGCATGGCAGGCCCGTGCTAGTTTAAATGTATAGGCAGCAATTTGCTGCCTTGCCTAAACTTTGATGAGGACATTTCAATGATAATCTTGTTAAAAGGCGATGAAATGTGATGGATATTACTCATGAACAGTAATATTGGTTGGGTGTTAATTGCTTTGTGGACAGCGGTGTTGATTTGTCGACTGGACATAGCCTAGTCAAGCTGGTTGTCCAACGATTGGCGGATAGAGTTCAGTGGGAACCATGACGCTGAATAATTTTAATGGACCTAGTACCTAATTGACCTTTAATTGACCTAGTACCTAGCCTAGAGACTTAAATCCCAATCAAACATTTCGGTAATAAAGCATTTTCATGTTCAAATTCAATTAGTCCTCGCGTGTTGAACATAGGAATGCTTTTTATATTTATATTTGAAAACTTTAATGTGTGTTACGTAATAATTTAGGTGGATTATACTGAAGGCATGGGAGTAGCATGGGGGGAAAATGAGAGAAGTGATAGTCCACGGTCGGACAATGGTTCGGGAGGAAGACCTGCTTGGGTTACAAAACAGTGAATTACCCCTAATATGGATTTCCGGCGTATGTTGAAAGCTTAGATAGCGGTTTATTCCAGGCATATTGATTATTTAATTGTCTGGGCCGTTTTCTTTACATTAGGCTACGTTCTCATATTATATGGTCATACTGTCAGTGTACTGAGTTGTGTTACAACCTACAAATAGTTTGCTTGATTTGTATTAAGTCATCTTGAATGTTTGTGTATTTTTATAATCTTTTAAGAAAATCTTAAATGACATCTAGTAGTTTCTGCAGCTTTCAACATTTTTCCCCACTTAATAATTTAGTGTAATGGCTATTGCTCACTGTGAACAGGTCTGTGTTATTAGAAAGCAGAATGATCCCCATAAACTAATGTCAAGTAAAGTTACCGTGAGTGTAAACTGAAGAAGCTTTAAAAGGGCAAACAAACAAGCCCATTAGGTGTTGTACAGCGTGCTGACGCATTCTACCTGGACCACCAGGACCACCCCACAAAAACTAGTAACAAGGTACTCAATGCTAAGGTAAACACATGCGCGCGCAATGGGAGATAAAAAACAGATTTAACTCGGAAATTGCAGTACAGTATATTTTAGTTCACCAGCAAAATGGGAAGTAGGTTAGTAGCCTCAACATTGGCGCGCTAGGAATCGATAAGAATTAGGGAATTCGTTTTCAGGTTACTGATGTTTGTAGCGCAAATGGGTTTAATTTTTGTGTGGGTGAGGGAGCGCACTATCTGCAAAATTTATTCGCTCTCCAGTGTGTAGAAATATTAAACAAATTGTTGAATAATTATGTATAGTTGATGGCTGGCATCTTTTCTTGGCCAAGAAGTGTCATAGGCAATATTTTATTAATAAAGGATACAGTTGCCAGCTAGAGCAGCCTTGTTAGGAAATAATAAGAACAGCCCTAATACTTAAGTTGTTGCTTACCTTGTCCTATACAGGCATTGTATTTACTAAGAGCGTTCATGGTAATGACACTTTATGGACGGCATTACTACCTGTTACAACAACGGGTAAATACCTAGAT